GGTGTTTCTTGCTGGGATGCTTGAATGGCTCAAATATTTTAACAATAACAGGCCTCGACCCTGCAAAGATGTATGCATGAGTTTAAGCACTGTGAGCATTTAACTGAGGCCAATGAGACAACTCAGTGCATAACATTAAACATGTCTATACATCTTTAACAGGATTAAAGCCATGAATTTGAAGTGTTCCAATCTGATAATCTTTGTAAAGCACAAAATAACAAACACTTCACAGGGCCTTTATTTCTAAAATGTTCACAGTGTGATGGATGTGTCAGGGGAATCAAAAGGAAGCAGAACTGTGATATAATTTCTACGGAAATAATTTATTTCTTTACCATGCATGAAAAGAATCTAAATTACAATTAAGAATGTTTTACAAAGTTTATTTTTCTTTATGTGATTATGTGCCTGGTGACATCTGATGATGGAAGCTAAGCAGAGTCTTATCTAGCTAATACCTACAGAGTGCTGAAAATAGCAGATATGGTTGTCTTTGAGCAGGGGAGGTCTTTACAGTGTCTAACAGAGTATTTTTTTGTGTATGAAAAAGAGTATTTGCTATTTCTCCTGTATACAGTGTTTCAGTGAACCTCCAGTTAGGGAGCAGAAACAATAGCATGTGTCTTAGGTGACCAGGCACATCCCACATTTTAAATAAAGAACAAATTAATAGTTAACATGAACAGTTTGCAAAGAACCCAGACAGATATCTGGATAAAATGTTCATGGAGTAGTTACAAATGATTGAATTTCTTTCTGTTTACAAAGATTTTTAAACTATGAATAGACCAAGGACCTTCTATAAATTAGAATGCTATTAGTATTTATTTTGCTTATAAATGCATAAGTGGGACAGTATCTTTCTTCCTCCATTCTAATGCCATCTAATATAATTTGTGTGTTTAGAATGTGAGTGGGATAGTATCTTTGGATCAAGGATCCTTAGATCATGAACTGTATCTTCCTATATTTACAGTGCAGTAGTAAATATAGTAGGACCCTGATCCTGAATGAGGTCTTTCTGTACATTAAAAATATAATTATTAAATGCAAATAATAATACACTTAGAATTCCCACTGACATAAATGGGAGTTTTGTTCAAACACTGTGGGTAGGCCATGGCCAGTTTTTTGCATGATTTTGTGCCACTAGCATTTAAGACTAAATATAATAATGCCATTAATGTACCTCAAATCCTAAATGAAAGTATTTTTTGAACACATATTAGGGCAGGATAGAGAAACTAACACAATCTTTTAGAAGGGCAGACAAGGTTCTTGGGGTAAATCTGATTTTTTTTATTAAACCAACTCAAAAAGTTGGAAAAATTCTTTTTAGCAAGCTTTTGGGCACAAACCCTTCTTCAGCCTGACAAAGGGTGTTTGTGCCCAAAAGCTCACTAAGAAGAATTTTTTCAACTATTTGAGTTGGTCTAACTCTAATAAAATATATTAGATTTACCCAAAGAACCTTGTCTGCCTATGTCCTTAGACGTACATGGCTACACCCTACATTGCTGAAATCTTTTAGAAGGGACACTTGAAGAACAGACATTACCAGAGCTGACAGTGCTAGTTCATCAACTTTATCTCATCTGTGCCTTTGAAAATCTCCATCTGAACTCATCTTAACATATAATGGTGAAAATGCTACACACTTCTTAATAAGGAAAGTTCAAGGAAATTAAAGAAGGATTTTTTCCTGCATTTGTTCTTGTTTTTCTTTGTAAGTAAAGAAGGGCTTACATTTATTTTTAAAGTTTATAACAGCTTGCTTTTATGTTAGAAAAATCATGAATGTCAAATCTTTGATTTGGAAATCCATAAAAGCAAATGTAACTGAGATGGGGTGAGCTGGAATTTAGCCTTTGACAAAGATTTCCTCTGTCCAAAATGCCAGTCACTAAATGGGTACTATTAAAAAATATTAAGTATATTGACTACAATTTCAGCTCCTGTTAATAACTCAGCTTTTGTTTTCTTATTAAATATCAACAATGGACAAGCCTCTCTAGTTTTCACAGTTTTGTGGCCTTGACTGGAGCTGAATTTGCTATGTTAAAAAACAAACAAAAGTTTAGAAAAAAAAGAAAGAAAAAAACCCCTCTGACTGTATCACAAGGAAAGAAAGCAAGCACAGACATATATCCAAAGATTTTCCTTCTTTTGTAAGTCACCTTTAAAAAAGAAATACATAAGAAAAGAAAGAGAAATCTTCACATGACTCTAAGCCTCTTACAGGTACAAAGTTCAAGATGCATTCAATCAGTTTATGTGCTTTGCCATATCAAAAATAAGAAGACTTCTTTCTCCTGATTTGGATGCATCCCCTAACAGCAGAGAGAAACTGATCATTACTGGAGCAAGGCGCATTGTTTTCAGTTTAGTAACTTTCTTCTCTGCCAGACTTGTGGTTTCATTTAAAGTTTCAATGCTTCCATCCTCTGAGAAGCCCAGTGGCTCTTCAATAAAAAAAGATCAAATGATGTTAATCAGGCAGTGTGACCTAATCCTTTAATTCAGCTGTCTTTGTACATTAGAAACGTTCTGCTCATGTAGGATTGATTTGCTCTTTGACTTTTTTTGTTAAATGCACTCTTCTGGAGTGCTGCTTCTGACTCCTGCTCCCCACCAAATAATTCTGTCATGCTTCTGTATAACTGAGAAATTAAAACATTTATTTTTCAGGTCTTGGTAGCATGTCCTGATGAACGCAGAGGGGCAAAATCTCCTAACACCATATAAAAAGCCAAGATTTTCATGCAAAAGTGTATGTATCTCAGTACTAAGTGCCATGCATATTCTGTAACTTTGTCATAAGCACATAAGGCAGTTATTAAATGATTGCTGAATGCAACACTAGATTCAGTACGTTTGGAACCAACTACAATTTCTGGTGGTACATGTTCTTCTCAATCTGCAGGCATCATTTCTATTAATTTAACAGTCAGTGCTTGTGGACAGAGGTGATATCTTTTATTAGACCAACAAGATTTTTGCAAAAAAAAAGTCTTTAAATACATGCTTTCGGGCACAAACACCCTTCCTCAGGCACAGTGATTTCATCTAGAACTGACAGCAGTATATCAGAGGACCTCTGAGATCCTATACATTACAACAAAGAGAATGCCAATTCTATTTATGGATATTTAGCTGGATAACTTGCACATTAATGTGAGTTACGTGGCTAAATCCTTTTTACATTGTTGTGGAAATATATCTTTAAATTTGAGGACTGTGTACTGTCTCAGATTCATATTCAGCTTTGGTAGGCACAATTCCCTAGAAGTCGGAGAAGTTGTCTCCACTTCAAATCTGAATCAAGCCTGCTGTCCATAGCAGATATTGGACTGAGAGTAGACAGCTGTCTGTGGCATGGATAGTTTCTACAAAGTAATCAGTGACATAAGAAACATTAGGTCCTAAGAAACATAAATGACCTAAGAAACATATGCCTACATGCTCTGTAGACCCCATTAGAAAACTATGCAGTTGCCAGCAAAGAGAAAAGCTAAAGTAGAGCTCCACAGACAAAAAGTCATCCACACTATTGATAGTAAGGTGTAGACAGAAGGGAACCAGAGCTGCACTGGTTATATTTGTAAGGGCTGTGTTCCATATTGTCTGTGTTGTCTGTACCTGGAGATTCTTGTAATAAACAGATTAGCCCAGCAGCATGCCAGCCTGTGTATGTGGCATGCAGCTGATCAGGGAGTGGGCAGGCAGAATGGTGGCAGAGAGAAAGCAGAGCAGTAAATTGGGAAAGCAGCACAAGTAATGGAGCAGAAAGCAAAGCAGCAGATTGGGCAGAGAAAGCACCAGATAGGGAGGAGAAAGCAGAGCAGTGGTTAGAGTTGGAGGGATTGGAAGAGCATTTGGGGAATGTGCAGAGCTTAATTTGTGGCACGCCTATCAAAAAGGCAGAGCATGACTTAGTGAAATAAAAAGACTTCAGAAATTGTTTTACAGGTGCTCTTCAATACATTTTGAATGTGGGAGAAGAAGAGATAAGCCCTGGTTATTAGAGCTTCTGATATGTTGTCACTGAGTATACATAATGAACTAGACAAGTAGACAACTTATCTTTCCATTAGAAGGCAGCAGATTGTTCCAATTTAACTGATTCATTAATTAATTATGTTGTGCAATCTTTTCAAATGTAGGCTTGATATAGCCACTTGGCATTGTACATAAGAGACTGTAGCAACATAGAAACATAGTACTGGAAAGAAACCCTTGGTTCATTGAGTTCTGTCCCCTGCTATTGCAGACATCTTTCATACGCTTATGGCACTCTATCTTAAAAACAGTGAGGGTTTTATTTGGGGGGGGCTCGGCTGTATGGTTCTTGTTCTTACGGAATTCATAGTATTGTTTTGTGATGGAGATGAGCTTCCCTGTGGCTGTAAGGGACACGACTAGGAGCAATGCCCTCAAATTTTGCAGTAGAGGAAATTTAGGTTGGCAATCCTGAAGAACTTTCTGATTGAGGGTGCTCAAGCATTGGAACAAGCTACCTTGAGAAGCTGTGGTCTCTTCATCCCTGGAAATTTTCAAGAGCAGGTTAGACACACACTTGACTGGGATGGTTTAGTCAGGGATGATCCTACTTTGAGCAGGGGGCTGGGCTAGATGACTTAATGCAGTCCCTTCCAGACCTTTTCTATGGTCCTAAAGAACTGAAAACTGATTTAAGTCTGGTGTAGCGGTAACAGCGAGTGGATGTTTAAAGCAGATATCTGTTGGCAGACAGCGCCATCTGTTGTCCCTAAAAAGAATCGCCTCCGCACAGGGCATCAGATTAAATAATAATTGAATATTATTGTGTATTGATATTACCAGGATCATGAATACATTTTACATGAGATAACTATTTGTTATAAAAGACAGATAATCCTGAGAGTGGGGACCAGAACACAAAGCTCTCTTTGTGTAAAGAGTTGTACTCTTTAAAGCAGATATCTGTTGGCAGAGAACACCCCAACCAAAGCCTTTGCATGACAGCACTCTCCTGGGAAGTCAGAGATGTGGGTTTCAGTCCCCCTGAAGCTGAGGAGTGCCAAGATCCCAGGTCTTCCACTTCCTGGGTAAGTCTTCTAATCACTAGGCCTTTGGAAAAAGTTAAGCAACAGCACTGGTCCCTGTGAGGTCAGGTGGGGTATATAGATGTTGTGCTTTCTTCCAAAATTCAATGCTGCTGTCTGCATGAAGAAGGTATCCTGATTCAGGTATGTGCTTCCCCTCTGGAGTCTACAGGTCCTGATATGAGACATATCCATGGGCAACAAAGATGAAAAAGGGCTTGGAAAGCAAGTTATACGAGGAGAGGCTGAAGGCACCTAGGTATGTTCAGCTTGCAATAGGGACATGAAAGCAAATATTTGAAGGGCTGCCATAAAGAAGAGGGAAAACACTTTTTCTCTCTTGCTGTAGAGAGGAGGACACAGACCAATGGCTTGAAGTTGCAGCAAAGTATGTTTAAAGTGGATATCTGGAGGAACTTTTTTAGAGTTAGACTAGTGAGGCAGTAGAATAGGGAAGTTGTGTGCCTGGAGAAGCTATGGACTGTCCAGTATTGGAGATGTTCAAGAAGAGGCTGGGCAGCCACTAGCTGGGGATGATCTAGGTGTAGCTGTGCTTATGTTCTACTATGGGTACTTCCCATTCTTTTGGGCTTTGCTGGTTGCCCCTGCCCACCTCCCTTTTCTGCTAAACATGTCAGGGTGTTTTGAAGCCTTCCTCAGAGGCTTTGGGTGTTGGCTACAGCCAAGACCGGAGACTTTGACTGGGGTGTGTTAATGTTTCTGCTGGGGCCAAAGCCAGAGGTTCCTAGCTACAGGGTCTTGCTCCTCCACTTAGGGTTAGATTGATCACCATATTTGTCATCAGGAAAGAATTTTACCCCATGATCAGATTGGTATGAACTGCGGGGTCATGGGCGATGGGTGCCTCCCAAGTCTGGGGGTGCACCAGATCGCTGACTGGGGGGGGAGGGTCCTCCAGGGGCAGATCACCAACCAAGGGAGGATCCCCCAGCAGCCGATTGCTGAGCCAGCAACAAAATCAGAAGTGTACTTCCGGTTTTGCGGCTGGCGCTTCCAGGAGGTGCACAGCTGATCTCAGTGTCGCCAGTGGGTGTAGTTGCCAATGCGTGTAGTCCTCTACATGGAATCTCTTGATCTTATATTGATAACATTTTAAAGAAGAAGGATATTGGCTGCCATGGTTCCCTTGCTCTATCTGTAGCAGGTTCTGGTGTCCCACTTAATTAGGGATGGGTGGTCACTCTAGCCGAGGGGTGGGCAAAATGTGGCCCAGGGGCCCGATGCGGCCTGCCAGGGCATTCTATCTGGCCCCCGGGGCCCCTAAAAAATTTAGAAAATTCATATTTATCTACCCTGGGCTGCCTGTCATGCGGCCCTCGATGGCTTGCCAAAACTCAGTAAGCAGCCCTCTGCCCAAAATAATTGCCTGCCCCTGCTCTATCCAGAGTTCAGACACACCTCTGTGTCTAGGATTTTGCTTACTGGCTCACTTCTCAAAGTCTCCCTTCTCAGCAATGATGTCCTCTGGTTCACCCTTGGGATGCACCTTGGTCTTTCCAGTCACTCTGTAGCAGTGGATCTCAACCTTTTTTTTACAAGGACCTATTTGTAAACATCAATGGCCAGTCCTGACCCAGTGCCCCTCACTCCTGACCCACTGCTGCCTGCTCCCAGGCCCAACCGGGCAGGGTGTGTGTGGGGGGGGGGGCATAAGAGGCCTAAGCAGCCTGTTGCAGGCTGGAACTCTGCCAGCCTGCAAGGGAAAACCCACAGCTTATCATGTTTTTCTCCTTTAAAGGAGAATCCATTTTTTAAATTTGTTTGTGACCCTTTAATATATTCTGTGACCCACTTTTGGGTCACGACCCATGGGTTGCGAAACGCTGCTGTATAGGAAGGCTAGGTGCCTCAGTCTATCTGTATGACCCCTGAACTCCCCCATGACAAAGGCATCTACACTTTTGGCACTACAGTGTCCATGTAGAAGTGCCTCCAGTGCTGCTTTGGATCTGGTTCTTTGACTGAGCATGTGCAAAAGATAAGACAGAGCCTGCCAGCTACAAAGGTTTAGACACATCTTGAAATAAAGTGTGGTGGTTTCTCGATGCAATCCTTAACGATTTCAGAAGCTTTAGATGAAGTTTTCATAGTGGGTGATCGGCCTGTCAAGTTATACCCGGTTAACTTGCAAGAACTGGGATGGAAGAAAGTTACACAGTGACCTTAAAAGACAGCCAAGGGGCTTGGACAGGTGACTGACACAGGACTGAAAGGGGATCACAGCTCTGAGGTCTGGGTCACCATATCTAGGTTCCTGGTGGCCCTGGGTGAACTTTTAGTATCAGGCCCCCCTTTGCCAGAGATAATAATAATAGTTGGACAACAGGAAAAAATTTACCATTTTTGGACCCCCTTTCTGCCTGGGCCCTGCGCGGCTACCCAGTTCACCCAGGCCTGTGCCCAGCCCTGTGTGCATTTGTGCTACTCTGGGATAACTTCGATATATTTCTGGTATTTTTTACCACTGACCAACAGCAAATGTTCCTCGCTGTGTAGAGCCTGGACTGCTTGCTTATTCCCGGGGTTGTGAAGTGTTTGGGGAAAAACCAAAAGGAATACAAAACTCTAAAACTCTTGGTTCAGAGGTGATACCTTTTATTAGACCAAGTAGAAAACAGCGAAAATAAGAGTCTCCTTCTCTGCAAGCTTTCAGGCACACAGGCCCTTCTTCAGGCTGAGGGGACATCAAAGATTGTAAAAGTCCCCTGAGGTAGAAAATAAACTGCATTTTGCATAGAGGAAGCTGAAGGTGGATGTCTGTTCCTCTGGGCCCATGGGAGTGTCTCTGAGTTGCTCTTTGATGCGGAAATAAGACAGTTTCTCTTCCCTGGTGGTGTCAGAAGGCAGAAAGGCAAGGAGGCACCAAAATCGTGGGAGAGACCCAGGGGTGTAGGTTGTAGTCCTGTGGGTCTAAAGCAGGCGTCAGCAACAGTTTGGGGCAGAGCACCAAAAAAAAGTGCCACCTCGACTTGTAAGATGTTGGTGTGCCAGGGGTGGACGTGGGGGAGCCACGAGGGCCCTGATCCTTGTTTGTGGCTGCCCACCCCAAGGCGCAAGCGCCAAGAAAAACGCCTTTGAGCCCCCGTGCCAGGGGGCTGCCTACCCTGCTGCGAGAACATAGGCAGACAAGGCTCCGTGGGTCAATCTGATATCTTTAGGAAAGAACCGAGCAGTTTCTGCGCTTCCCAACAATACTGCAGAGTCCAGTTGACACACACGCCGCCTGAGGGGCACGCTGCAGAGACTCGGAAATACTCTGCACTAACTCCTACGTTTAAACATCGGTCCGAGCAGTAAAGAGGGAAGACCGGGGGGAAGCAGAAGGCGAAATCCTCTTTCGTTCATTCCAAGCCCGTTTCCTCCGAGGGCGGCGGGACACCGGGAGGAGACAGGGTCTCTGCCCCCGTCGCGCTGCCACCACCGCAGCCCGGGCGGGAGGAGCAAGGGCGCAGGCGCGGAGCCGGCCCGGCTCTGCCGCGCGCTTCCTGTCGCCGCCGAGCGGGATGGCG